AGCATGTGGGCGAGCGTTGTCGTGCTGAAAGATCACTTTGTTATGTCTTCTGGCATATTGGGGGGGGGGATTGAGCTTCAGCGCTCGGCTCAGTTGCATCAACTGTTGTTTGTAATGTTCTCTAGTGATGAGGTATGAATCTTAGTCCAATAACCCCTCCAACTCAGCGTCTTGAAATTTTAGTGGCCTTCCTTCGCGTTCTTTGCCGCTGGCGTCAAAATCGCAACTTTTAAAGGCCCGGAAACAGTATTCACATGTTTTTAGCATGTTCCCCATATGCTTCACACACCAGTCGATGCCCATCAGCTGCAGGTTTCTTCAAATTTAAACAAGAAAAGAAGCGCTTCCCGCAAATCTTGTTTTGTTGGTAGAAATGTTGACGTGGATTGAGCACAAAGAAAGTTTGTTATTTACACTTTAGCGAAATGAAATAGACTAATTTTTAGCCAGAAATGCTGGCGCTTTAACCTGCTCCTAGTGACAAGATTGTCTGATAGGATTTAATACTAGTAACGCCATCTTATGTAAATCCTTCAAAACTTATTTGTACACCCAATATGTCGTAGGGGGAAAGAAAAAAAAAGTTATGGCAGTTTCAGAAACCGTTGGAAATTCTTTTGCGACTCCTAGCCAAAAATCTTCTAAGGACTTCGTATTAAAATCGATTTCGAACCGCGAATCATTCCTTTTGTGATTTTTAATGGCAAATGAGTAAAATTTTTAACATTAATCCCGAATGGTTTCATAATCCATATTAGTTCTCTGGTACTAAAATTTAAGGGAAATATTTCTCAAAACTTTTCTCAAGACACCGAAGATGTTCATTTATCACTTTTAACAACTCATCTTTTTTGATGATCTGTTTCATCATTTTCACTTAAAACTTGACTTGTGACAAGCATTTCTGACTAACCCTTTTCCACCATGGTTCTCCATATGGTAATTTTCTTAATAAAAGCATCAATTTTTGATTTGAATATGAATATGTTACAACTCTTTCCTTGAAGTGAAAATTTTAGTTAATTTAGTTTTTCAAATATGCCACTCACATAGCGCAGGTTTTGTACCCACAACTTATAGAATTTATAGTTGTGGGTACAAAACCTGCGCTATGTGAGTACAGAATAAATTCGAATCTCTAATTATAGAATTAAATTATCAATTATCTAATTATAGAATAAATTCGCAAAATCAGATTTCTGTTCGGTTAGAAAGAAAAGAACTTCATCTTTTAATTTTAATAACCTTTTTAAACTGTGGGTTCTTGAAAGCCACTTTACTTCTGCATGTAATAATAAGCTTTTGTATTCAGAACCAATGTCTTTAGAAAGATTTTAAAACAAACGACTTTTAGAGAATGAATTTTAGCCATTAGGTTCTTTTTTTGGAGCAGGTGAGATGAAAAATGAGCAACGCCTTCCCCGGGAATCGAACCATGACCTCTGAAATACGCGCCCAGCGCGCAGACCACTACACCACGAAGGCACGCTAAGAAGGCGGGAGAAATACCTTATAAAGTTGACCACTTTATCTCGAAGCACAACATCTAGTTCTGTTGATATTGTTTTGGCCCTCAGGGCCTCTCAATGTATCATGCAATGAGTAAATATATGTTGGTTGTCACTTTTCCTTAACTTTGGCTAGAAATTCAATTTTTTTTTCACCGACCATCGCTTTAGCACCGTCTGCGTAAATGCCAACACAATTTTTCCACTGCAAACTTTCTTCTATGAAAAATTCGTTAACTTTTACAAAAATGGCCTCTCCTCTTGTATGTCCATCCAAAGAACGACAAAACAAAAATTCCTCATCCTTCAAATATATATCTAACATACACTAATAATAGAACCAAGTTGGTAATATCAATTGATTCATCCAACTGGATTGCAAACTTAGGACTCATTTTGAGCCTAGTTATTGGCTGCTCATGTTGATCTTTATTAATTTACGAAATTCGCTTTGAAACAGTAGCGATGGATAATGGAATTTTATGGATTTCATCTGCGTACTTTTTGCCATGAACTATTTCTAACATCTTAATAGTAGTCGGCAATATTAGATTATCTTCAACTGAATGGGCCTTTTTATTTTTCACAATTAAATAGGATGCTTTATAAGACGCAAGTAAATACTTTTCATTCACAGTACAAAGTTCTCAAAGCCAAATTTTTGCTGCTTTCAAAAGTCGTTCAAAGTAATCTTTGGGTTTCTTGCAGTGCGGAATATGCTTATTGAGATGTCGCTTTGATTCGGCGGGTTTCATGCATTCTGCAGCAAAACTTCTTTACAAATTAAGCATAACGGCTTTTTAATTCCGTCATAATTACAAGAAATAAAACCAAATTCCAACTATGATTCGTCATGTTTTCGTTTTCTTGGTATTTTAATTTCCTACGTACCGGAGATGACTTTTCATTGTTTTCAGTTTTTTTAAATTTCTTTTACCTAGATTCAACCACTTATCCATCATGCGTAAAAATATTTGATTACAATTATTGTTGAGAAAATAGGGGGTTTGTTTGAAGTTGAGAGTGTCGGAGAATAGTTCTTCTAAAGTAAGGATACCGTTTAGTTGTGTTCTTCATGAACTTAATTTAAAAGATTATCTTGCTATTTTTATTTTGCTTATGAAAGATCTTTTGGCAAAAATGGACTTATATCTTTTGATTTAGATACTATGTCTATTGAATCTTTCTTTTGATTTAGATAGTACATGACTTGTGATCTGGCTCTGCAGAATATTGGGCCCTTACTAGGAAGAATGACGAAACACTCACTTAATTTAGTTGTTGTTAATTGATAGCAGATTGATTTGTTCCCCTTGGCAAGTAAATTAATCTGCAGTCAACGACAATAACTACTTTTTCAATACTAGAAATGTTTACTTTTTTATTTTGGTATTTTTGCAATTCAGGATTTTTCTTTTTACTTTTTATGGGTTTTCTGCAATAGAAGTCTAGAAATACTAATTTAAAATAAAAATTCAAATACTGTATGAAAAATTTATTTATTATAATAATTTATGGTTTTAATTGAATTTTTGTTCCTTGGAGATGGATTACAAAGTTTTCTAATGACAAACTATAGGTTTATAAAAGTAAGTTATGTACTTGCTGATGAAACGACAAAAACAACGACGTCAAAAGCGACAGAAAGCTTGTTTTATCGGGACAGTTAGCACCATATATATATTCGGTGTGAAGGGGCGCTCAAACGTGTGAAAACGATCCGTATAGAACGACTGACCTGACACTGTCGACACGGTTGATTGCGACGTTATAGTCAAAGACGGCTCATCACGCATGTGTTGCCCAAACACTGGGATCTTGCTTGCATATGCAGGGCCTTTGGCGAACTGACAGCGTCACGTGCAAAGCAAGTAAAATGAAAGTTTCTATCATAAACAAAAGTCTCGAAAAGTTTTCGCGTTTCCTTTATCTGTATTGTATTATCTTTATCTAGTTTCAGATGCATTGTATAAAAATATTTGGCAAATGTAAAAGTATTATAATAAGTTAAAGATATACTAAAATTGCTAAAACTTTTAGCTACCCACAGTTTAAGAAACACTGGAGAGTAAAACAGTGCAAGTTATTAATTTTGAATTTGGGACTGAGAAAATAATCACGAGTGTTTCACTAAATTGTACACATAAATGTGTAGAACTTCTAGCATTTAAGTTGAACATAATGAACTTTCTACCAATGGCTTTTTGCTTTACTGGAGTCAAGTAAAAGGTTAATTTTTGTGGCTTCAAAAGCGTTTTTATCCCTCAGCGCTGAAACTAATCTCATAAATTTCTCTACCTTGTTTAGAGAAAATATTATTTAGAAGTTTATGTGTTTAGATCAGCCGTTAAGGAAATAAAACGTAAGCCTCCTTTCATGAACATTTTGTATATACCTTAATTCAGAGAGTCTTGAAGCATTTGTTTATGGTATATGTGATGGCAAGTAATTAAATTGCTAGCTTTAAGAAGCTAATAAATGCCTAAAATTGCAAAATGCACTTTTTTTTTAAATCGTTCTTCAATGCACACATCAGTTAAAGGAACAAAATGCAACTTAGGATTTTAAAGGGGTTCTATTACAGCTGATAAAGTTAATTTGAGAAGTTAGAGTGGATTATTTGATAATGGCAAACTAGACCTCTTAAGATACTAGGGCAACCTGCTTGTAGTGAGCTGACTTTCTAAAGAATATCGGGTTGTATATTTGTTGCACTGAGGAAACTAACATGTTCTGTGTCGGGAATTGATACGGTTGAATTACTGGTATACCACACTTTATTCATAAAGCTATTTTTTTGCTTATTTTTTCCCATGGAGGGGGAATTGAACAATTTCCCTCCAAAACACACAATTTTGGGTATGTTCTTTTCTTCACATTGGCAGTTCAATTACAATATTTTTTCATAAATTTAGTATTTTACTCATGTTTTTAACTTAAAATACTTTCATGAAGGAAACGGAAGGTATATCATTTTATTCTAGGTTTATATACGTAAAAGTACTAAAAGTGTATTCACCGATTAGAGAATGTTTTCCAGTTTTGTGAAAGTGCTGCTAAGTAAACAATTTTCGGTATGCAGTAACCTACAAAATAATTTATACTTAATGACAAACATCAAGCCTTATATTACTTGTAATATTATTTATAATACTACTAATTACTACTTTGTATATATAATATTACCATTGTATGCGTAATTTAGTTTAAGTTTAGTCTATTGTAGTTTTTCACTATTTTTTAGAAAAAGTACCATGCATTTAAATAAAACATCTTTTGTATTAGTTGTGTAATGAAATACATATATTGTATTTGTAAGAACTGTTAAAGCACACTCATACATAAAAGTACATACTCATACACACACACGTTTGTGTGATCAAATATCTAAGTTCAAACATTCTATAAGTACATACTTTGAAAATTGTACATAAATATACCATATGTATCCAAATTTTTGTTTATATAAGCGCATATTTTTAAAAATACATATTTTTCGAAACTAAAACATAAACATTTATTATTCTACAGTAGGAAGAAAACATAAAATGCGTTTGAATACTGAAGTAACAAATGATACACCTAAACCCAAAAAAGGGGGGAAACACATGTTATCAAACAGCCGTTATTTTGAGAAGTGGAAACGACAACTTAACAGAACTAAAAAATATATATGTATGTGTAAATAAATGCAAGCAATGAAAGTTTTCCGAAGCAAATTAAATACACGTTGTGCGATCAGTTATTAGTTCTTTTTCTCTTATTTTGAGCAAACTTTGGAGTTTTAGCCTCTCCAGGTTTTCAGGTTCTGGTGGTGGACAAGCAAGTATATGTTGGTAAAGGAGACCAGCTGTTACACCTCCTAATATAGGACCTACCCAATAGACCTTTAAGTGAAAGAAAAGAAATAGGTTAATTTGTGTGAAGTTTTACTTTTCAAAGCAGAAATAAATGTAGTATAGATTTTACTTCAATCATCTGGATATGCAATATAGTATTTATTATATCAGTTACCAAACTAAAAGGGAAACATATGGAAATAAAGTTTGCATTATGAGGCAGGATCCATTTCATAAAAATTAATATTATAAATATCATGCAAATGTAAAGCTTTTTTTATTTAGTTAATTGAGAAACTTGTTTTTGACACTCATCGCAAATCAGTAATTAGATAAAAAATTTGCTATGACAGCGCGACACGAAGATAATGAACATTTGCAAGAAAGTGCTAGTTTTGTACCATGGGGCATTTTCTGAAAAAAGAATAGTTGCATGAAATTTTTCGCGAATACATGCCTAATACAAATGCCAAAGTATACACTACATGCCTAATACAAATGCCAAAGTATACAGTCTTTCCAAGATAAAGAAAGCGTGTCAAAATGTCATATGCTTTGACATGATCAGATAACTAAACTACATTTATGCTTGGATGTGTGTTTTCATGTACCTTCAATTTTTTTCCCTCCTCCACCTTGCTATCTTAGCTTACGAATCAGGGATTAGACTGGATCAGAACTGGGGAAACCATAAACAAAATAAGCGTGTGCTTAGGGTATCAAAGAAAGGGAACTCCACCAAAAGATGCCTAGGGACACAAAGAAATGGATCACTACAAAAATTTTCCATTACTGGTTTTATCATCGCGGAATATATTGCGGAGCTAAAATAAGGTAGACAGAGCAGAGATGTGAGAAATCAAGCATTATATTGAAAATGTAAGTCGGAGCATCAAAATCTTAAGCGCTTAAGGACTCTAAAAGTCTTAATCCAGCCCTGTACTAGGTTCATTGATTACGGCAATATAGGGTAAGGCTGCCTTTCTTAAAAAAAGCATGCATTTATTGAGTATCCTCTAAGACAGCGCTTCTCACTCTGCAGGCCGCGGCCCACAAATGGTCCTCGAAGTCTTCCCTAGTGGTTCTCCTTGATTTTCATAAGAGACAAAAACTTAAATTTCAACTTACTGCGTACATCACACGATAGCTAAATATCCCAGAGCTTGAAAATTACACGTGATGCTCGTTATATAATTATTTCCTCAAAAGACTGACATTTTATAAAATTTGTTACTGCTTACCCTGCCTAGGGACTTCTATTCTAATCCTTACAATAAACAATTTAACCCTTTAACTGTCGAGTTATTTTGATGATTTGGGTACACAAATTGTCAAATTTTTTTATTGGAAAAATCAAATGTTTAGTACAAAATAAAATATACTTAAGTAGTTAAAAATTGATATTTTGAAGTATATGGGTAAAATTTTTAAAGTTTTGTAGCCACTACATATTTGCTTGAGGCGGCTGCCACTCAACATGGCAGTTGTAAAGTTCGCTTCTAGTGGAGCATTATTTTCTAAAAATGAAAGAAAATGAATTATTTTCTAAAAAATAAATAAATGAAAAAATAGTGGAGCATTATTTTCTAAAAATGAAAGAAAATGAATTATTTTCTAAAAAATAAATAAATGAAAAAATAAATAAAAGTGAATACGTATTAGTAGTTCAGTAATTCAGTCTTGTGTGGTACAACTGGAAACACTTTTCCAAGCACAAACCAACTCCACAATCACTACACCAGAACCGTGTTTCCTTCCTTATCTTTTTCCCATTTTTATCCTTTTCAAACAACACACTTTGCACTGTCTTGTAGGCTCACGTTTCACAGGAGTAGGAGGAATACAGAAAATAAAATGTCGTTCAGTAAGACGGGTAGGGTTATCTATTGTAGGTGGTCTGCCAACATTCTTTTGTCCAGAAGCTGCATCATCATATTTATGTAAAAGCTCTTCTACAACTTGGATTCGAAATTCTAAAAATGTAATATGTTTTCCAAATACATTTTTATAGAGTAAATATGAGTTCCAAAGTACCTTGTCTAGTAAATGTAAAAATATCTTTTTATGATATTTTTTCTGACGTTTTCGGATTTTTGGATGAAAGGATATTTCCTAATCACAGCGATCTACACCACCCATAGTTAGACTGTAGTCAGAAACAATCTTCGGCTTGAGTATATCTTCATTTTTTTTAGGCTGACCATGGAAATATCATGAATACTGCACATCAGACACACATCTTTCATCTTCGGTTGAAGAATCTAAATCATCTATATAACGTTTCAAAGAACTGGACGCCATTTTACAACAAAAAGATCCCGTGCACTTTGAACCAAAGAACTTATAACCTCTGACCTTTGAAATCTTCAGTAAAGTGCTGTCATCTATTGAATTGAGCGCACATTAACTTTTCCCGAGATACTGTCAGCTTTGACAAAGAAATGAAGCCGAAATAAACGTCTCCCGATATATATTCGGGTATAACAATATGATGCACTCAAAAAAAAAAAAAATTACCCCGAGTAATACTCGGGCGTGACATTTTCGAACACCAGTGCTGTGCCCGAGATTAACTCGGGCATGACAGTTAAAAGGTTAAAGCACTATGGCTATGGTCCTTCTTACCAGCATACATCCAAACATAGAATAACTATGCGAAAATCGATAGGCTGAGCCATCTCATTAGTATACCACAGCATTTATTTAACTTTTAGCTAATACAGTAAAATTATCTTAACTCTAATAGCCTTGGTTTATTGAAAAGAATATCAGTTTTCTCTCATTAACTTAATTACTTAATACGAACACAAAATTAAATGAATTTTAATTATTTGTATTTTGCAAAATATAAGTGTATTGGTAATAACATATGTTAAAAAATTACTTTCCAAATTGACAAGAGTAAGTGGTCTGCAGAAAATCCTTATTATTAAAATTAATAAAAGTGATACTCAAAGTTTGAGAATCTTTTGATCTCAGAAAAACTGATATGTATCTATGTAACGCATGAAGAAAGAGTTCTCTTCACGTGTTTCATTTAACAGTTAAGAAAGAGAACTAGAAGGCTCATCCCACTAAACAGTAAAGAAGAAAACTATGGGTGAACTGCGACATTTCATTGTTAAAACCCATCGGGCAGTAGCAAGCCTACGAGTTAAGCCTATTGGTAAGCCTCTTTTTGCCTATTGGTAAAGATTCCAAAATGCGTGCTAACCTTAGCATACTAGAGTAGCAAAAAATTGCACCGCACTGCTTTTCATTGAACAGCGCATCCTAAGAAACTCATGTAATGAGAGAGTATTCATAGAATATACGTTAAGCATGAGTATGTAATAAATAATTTTTAGCAGGGACTACATTTAAAAGTATGAATAGAGATGTGCAATGATGAATGAAATTGGTAAACATATATACAATATTTACATAATAATAAGGTAATGCAAGGGCAGTTACTAAGTCCTGATACCCTGAACAAAGTCACGTGATTCAGTTTCTGGTGAGTGCTGTAAAGGAAGATGTGATTAAAAATATCTGAAGGAGATTAATTTTGAGATTAAAACTAATTAATAAACACACGTAAATGCATCAAACAATAATCGTACTAGCGAGTGCAAATATTATAAATAATTAATGAGAGTCAGGTGTATATATTTTAGAATTAAGATGAAACTCCCATTTTGATTAGACCAGGGTATAGGGTTTTTAAGCTTCTTGTGCAGTCTTTTCAGTTATTTACAATTTTCATTAAAAAAATAGTATGCGCAAGCGGCACTGCTCGCGGGCTCAAAAACTGAGTTATGAGGAACTACTCGCATTGGTTAAACTTGGCAGGCGAACTCGTGGGAATGACATATTTAACAACTTCACAGAAATATGTTGTAAATCAGAACTAAATCTTACTGTTTTTTATCAGTGTTTCCACCAACGGCACATCAACTATGAAAAGCAAGAGAGAAGGCTGCATTTTTTGTTAAAAAAGAAATTACAAATTTAGAAAAATTAATGTCGTTCCATTGCAACTAGGAAACTCTTTGCGGTAAAGTAATTATTTTACAAACTACTATGGATAAAGGTATTGAAGTTATTAACATTATTCCAGTGAATTTATTGCGCGTAAGATTCTTATATTAGATGATGAAACAGCGTTGGTTTGCCGTGTTGCAAAATTCATTTGCTTTCAAGGGGACAAATTATCAAGAAAGTTTTGGCCTTACGAAAACGAATTTTACTTTTTAACAAGGGAGCAAGAAAACCACTTAAATTAGCAAGTTAAGAATTTTATTGAAACATTGTACTTTTTTCAGATGAACAAAATGATTTAACTATTTTCTTGCAAAGCATGTATATGATATGTTGCAAAAATTTCACATCTTTCAACAGAAGTTGACACTTTTCAAAGCTTTACTCTCTCGTTCGGATATGCTTGAAGATCATTTCCCACTGCTGTTAAAAATCTTAAACAAGGAGAAATATGAACACAAAAACTTCAATAGTTATGTAGCTGTCTTGGATTCCTTAATTAAGAATACATGGATAGCTTTTCAAATTTTTAAGAGCATACTGTTATAATGCAGCTAGCATTTCAACCACATCTAATCGATGTCTTAAAAGCAAATATAGAGAACTGCCAATGGAACTAATCGATTTGACAAAAGGTAATATTATACAATCCCTTTATGATACCTGAAAAATCCCTATGAAACATAGAAAAATGCTGTTGAACACCCAGACCTGCTTCACCATGTAGACCGTTGCATTTCTGCTCTGGAAGTATACAGTACAGTAACATTAATATGACCACATGTCAAAAGTCAGAATAACCACCTTTGGCAGAGTGAACCGCTGTGAGATGTGCACGAAAAGAATCAGGTAAATTCTTGAAGGTGTTCCCTGGGATGTTGAGGCATACCGACTTCAGTGCAGTGGCCAGTTGCACTAGGTTACGCGGTTAAAAATCCAAGGCAGGAACAACCCGATCGAGGTGATCCCACAGATTCTCGATTAGGTTTAAGTCCAGGGAGTTTTCTGGCTAGGGGAGTACTTTAAAC